CTCGCACTTCCCTGCTAGCTTCTCATAATCAAAGTCAGAGAGGGAACTAGCAGGAAATTGCATAATCTCAGTTTGTTTATAAGCAAACGGGCAGGTAAGTTATGTGGTTGCTGCCAAATGAAGGAGATTGATGAGCAGTGAGTGTTGTGCAGAGATGTGGGGAAGTTTCTCTGCAGGCTTCCCCATTGACTTGTGGGAAGCTGGCAGGAAAGATTGCAAATCGAGATCGTGTGATGTGCGATGCTGCAACTGTTGTAAATGCGAATTGATTGCCAAGTGGCTAAATTGAGACATGTCTACTGGGCTCACTGGAACTGGATCGGGGCTAACCATCATTTATTTGGCAGTTGTAACTGCTGCTGAATGAATGATTGTAATTCGAGTATTATCTATAGCTACATATTATATAGTACCATAGTGCCATACCATTCAACAGTATGGTAAAATATATCTTAATATTAGAGATTTTTTTTAAACAAATGACAACTGTGAGAGTCAGATATATAATCATCCTCTATATATTATGATTCATGTTAAGCCAAACCCAAACTAGCCACATTATAGCTTAGCACAGCCAGATAGTAAAATGGATTAGGGATTAGACTACTTGTATTCAAATAGGGATTTATCATGTGGATTTGGTTTCCCCACATCTCTATTAAGGTATGTGGAAAGAAGGAACAGATTTCATTTATTCCCTCCTCCTGTGATTCCTAAAGCAGTTTTAAGCACTGTTTACAAGCCAGTAAACTAGAAGCCAAGTGTACAAGGCAAGACGGGGAAAGACATAATAGCTGATCAAACCATGATTTAAACTGTCCCCCTTTCCAATCAAAATCTGGATCATGGATACAAAGAGCAAATATTAAATATTGCTGGAAAGTATATGGGAATATAGAACTGACCTTGGGGATACAGAAGGAAGGTACAAGCTGTTAAAGGAAGACTTAAGGAAAAGATTATAGAGTTTTGAAATAGAGGGACGCTTGGGGAAAAAAAGCCTCAAAATAATCCCATGTTGATTTTGTTTAAGATGGGATAGAAACAATATTGCAGTAAGATTCTGTTACTCTATTTTGTTGCAATAAAGAGCATTTCTGGAATTCCCGCAGTGCCCTTTTCTTGACCTGGTCTACCTCAAAGGACTGACAGAAAGACGTTACAGATCTTTCAATACATGTCTGTTCACACTTGGCATGTTTGCGTTTCTAAGACACCCTACATGTTTTTAATTTATTATCTTTGATCTGATCATTTTTTAAGCCTCCAGATGGCACTATTAAGCAGAAAAAAGAATGACTGTAAAGTAATGAATCCAGTGAAAAATAAAAGTGGAAATTGAATTGTAGTGGCAGGGGAGGGCTGTTGGTAGCCCTGATGTGCTTAGATCAACCTGTACTCTTATCACTTTTGCTTGCTGTTCCCATATGTTAGGTTACCAGCAAGTTAATAATAGTGCTTTGGCAGTTCAAGGCTTAGCAAAATTGCACTGGACATGAAATAAAGCTAAAATGAATTTCTGTCCAATATCATTGACATTAGTGTTCATTATTTTTGTGGTGCAGTGCCTCAAAGCATCAAAAATCAATTTTAAAGATTACCCATTATTTTATAAACTAAAACGCATTTCAAACAGTTATAAAGAAGTAACTGTGGTGTAATCGTATCAACAGTTACTTAGGTTTTAGTGTGGTGACACAATCACACTTCTAAAGTAACCCCTGAAAATATCTATTGAGAATTAAATTGTATGTATGATCATGTATGATTAAGATAAAATAATACCAAGTTGGATTATCAGTAATATTTTTGCCCTCTCTTTATCTCCAACATTATATATATACTTTAAACAATAGTATCTGGTTATGACATTCTGTTAGGAAATAAATAGGTTTCTCCTTTGTGGGAGAGGGATGATTAATGCTTAGTTTGTTTGGGATTTCTAATGTAACATGATTCAGCTTGAAATTGAATTTAAAGTAAAGTTGCATACATTTTTCAGATGTAGGTTACACTTAACCTTTCAATGGGTTGCTGAGGTAGAGGTATGCTACTGAAAACAAAACACTTTTGGGAACAAATAGACATTTAAAAATAATTTTAATTTGATTCACACTTTAATTTAACATACATTTTAAAGATATCATTAATGTGATTGCTTTCCACATTCTTTACCATTTCCCCCTATTTATCAATTAAAATTACAATTTGATTTAGCTATAAGAGTATATCTGGAAACTGAAAGTAAAGCTGAGATTATGTACCATTTGTTTAAAGCCGTGGACGTTACTGCTGTTCTCCATTCGCATCCCAACTGATTTTCATGAATTCTAGAAGATAGTAATTTTTTCCAGTAAACTGCTTATTTTTTTACTACATTGTGCCTTTGTTTATGAACAATGTCCAATATCTTACACTGATGCAGATGTATTGGAAATGATAAGGACAATTTATACTTGATCAAAAATAAATATTAAATATTTTAGAATTTTTTAATATTCTATGTATGATTAAGATAAAATACCAGGTTAGATTATCAGTAATATTTTTGTCCCCTTTTCTTTCATCATTGTGGTCTGAGGAGTATGACATATGCAGCACCTTTAATGACCACGGCAATTAGCTGAATCCGCTAGAGTTGACAAATATCTGAGCTTCCTGCATGTTTATGTTAATGTGCATGCAATTAGATAATATATCGGAGCAGTATTGTCTGTATATATGAATTATATCTGTACAAAAAGAGGGAACCCTTTGATTTGATTGTCGCTTAGGCAAAGCATTCTCTGAACACAGCTCTTCATTGCATCCTTTCAAGTATTGTATTGGAGCTGCTACATGACAAATGTTCAGTAGTGTTCTGAGCATGCATATGCAGAATATATTTTCACAGCAGAAAAAAAAAATTGACATCTACAAGTGTAGGAACCTGCTTTTGTTTTTATCAAGGTGCTACCTTGCCCTCAACTGGAGGTTGAGGTGGTTCCAGACAGGAGTGCTGCTTCAGGCACTGATAAATTCTGTATTATCCAAGATGTCCTTGTTTTAAAGACTAAATTAGAAACTTGGAGGAAGGAAGTGAGTAGACTAGTTTTGATTTTAAGGGAGAACAGTTTCAAGGACTGGTATGATTCGTGTTTATTTCATCTATATTTCACTTTATTTCCCCAAGGTCTCAAGGTAGCATACATGATTCCCCCCTCCCCAATTTTATTTTCATAACAACTTTGTAAAGTGGGTTAAACTTAAGTGGGCTTGGATAGAATGAAGATAAATCCAAGGGCATTTATGGCTAAGTGGGGGCTTAAATTCAGGAAACAAATGAGTATGGATGTCCATTGTGGGGGTAAATGATGAAACAGGGATCATGATACAAGTATGATTCCCTTTATATGTGCATCATGACATTACATATACTTAGTGGAATAATTAGAATTTCAATACTAATTTCATTATTCTTGCCTAATTTTGTTTTGTTTTGTTTGCTTAGATATGTAAGTTGGTTATCTAGGTCAAAAGAGATGCCTTTGTGTTTCTTTTCTAGCACACATAATTGAGGCTGGTCTAAACCTCATTTTATTTCTCTCTTCTTTATCATCTCAATTTTGAAATGATTTAATTTTTGTCTTCCTTCCACTCAAAGGTATGCCACGGCCATTATTTTTCATATTAGTTAGCCTGCAGGAAATAGTTCCAACCCTTGTTTTCTGTTTTATTGACCTGATGAATATCAAAATATTCTTCACTGTATCAAACTTTCTTTATCTGACATCTTTGAAATATTTTAGACTACAGGTCCCATTGTTTTGATGACAAATACTGTAGGCTTTAATTTCATAATATCTATAAGGCACCAGGTTAGGAAGGCTGCATAATGTCCATATTGATCCTCTCGCAGCTATTTGTAATAGAATTAATCCAAATGTGCTTTCTCTAGAACAGGATTATGAGATATTTTTAGATAACCTTGTATAGAAGGCAGAGTATAGCATTGGTTACTCATATTAAAATAATGAATTCTCTGGTAGAAATTATCCTGAATGCTTGCCAATTATAAACTGGAGTCCTGAAATTGTTTACTTTACTACCCCCTCAGTTATTCAGAATGATACAAGTAATTAACTGACATCAACAAATATTAAATAAAAAAGCAAGGGATCTAAACTTCCATAACTTTAATATTGAAGTAATGTTACTTTGGGATTTGTATTTGCTGAACTAAATAAACCAATAGAAATGTATTTTAATGTTGAATAAAACTAGATTGGAAAAAATAGATTTTATGACATGGTGTGATAGAAGCAATACCATTCTGTTGTTAATAAAAATATAGTTGGATATATTTAATGTTGTATTAAATTGTCTTAAATGTTTGCTGAATTGGGCATTCTCATTTTAAGATTATATGCTAGAGTCAAAACACTTTTAAAAATTAACTGAAGTAAAAGATTCTTTTTCACATTCATCTCAAATAGTTTTATCACCCTTGAACCTAACATACATTAGTGGTAAACTATTTTTTATATTTTATATAGAAAAATAGATATATTTGCAAAATAAATTTCTGTTTTACATAGGCATTTAATTTCTGTAAATTCTATAATGCCCTTATTTTAAGGCAATAGTTTTATTACATATTCAAAATTACTGATTATGCATCATTTCCCATATTATGTTAGTTCCCCCACACATACAGAGGCACATTCTTTTCCCAGCCAAAGTAGTAATCGATCCACATGGTAGCAACAGATGGATAAATTAAAAAAAATGTCCTTGAAAATTACTTATATAACAGATGTTCATAACTATTAGCTTCATGTTTTTTTACTCACCTAAAATTCCAAATACTTTAATAAAGGTAAGTATCACTTACTCAAACATTCTAACATTTATACTGCAGTCAAATTGCAATGGGTATGAAGTTAAAAGTAATTTTAAGGCAAAAAAATATTGAGTAAATGTTCTTGGAAGGCAGCTGAAATTTTTTGTATTTTTTAAAGGGTGCTCCAGAATCCAGTTTTGCTTTCAGACAGTAGACTTCATCTGTTCGTACAAACACAACTGAGTCCTGAAGACATTGAGGCCTGTGTTTCTGGAAATACGAAATATTCTGTAGCTGAAGCAATCCATGGCTTTGCTTATTTGAAACGACGATTTCCTGTAGAACATGAAGAGAAGAAAAAAGAAAATTATGCCGATTCAGATTCTGAGAGGTTACTTCCTTACATTCTGCTAAACAGGCATACACGATAATAAAAACACTTCAGCATTTTTGTTGTTGATGCAATGCTAAGATAATGGAAAAATTAATTGACTGAGATTTTATTGAGCTGTGACAGCTCATCATAGAAGTCTTTGCATACACCTCCACATTGAATTAATGAATGCAGTAGAAATTCAATTATCTGCATTCTGATTATGTGAATTTCATTTAGTCAGACTTGAATTATTCGCGTTTAAATTATCTCGCTAAAAAAAAATATCCAACTGCACTCCAAATGACTAATTAAAAGTCCAAATTTCCTGTCTCTCTTTTGTGACTGGGGATAATTAAAGTTCTCCTCTGTTACTCAGGCTTTGAGTGTGTTGTGAAAACCAATTCCCCCCCCCCTTTTTTTTTCCTCTGCAGTTCATCCTCTGGGCTTGAACACAGTGGCGATGATAGCAATTCACACAGACATAAGGCAAGCACAGCTCATGAAGAACCCTGAAATATTATTTGCACTCTACTGTTCCTGGAATGACAGGCATAACTTGAAAGTTGCATGTGACCCTTCAAACTACTTCCCAAAGCACGTGCTTTTTGTTTTCAAAACGGTTTTGAAAAATATACAGTATATGCAGTAGAGGTTGTATGGGCTGGGAATTATGAAAATAATAGTCCAAGTCTTTTGCAAGCCAAGCAGGAGAAACCTGATTTATGTTATTGAACAGTTATGAATTACATCTGTAGAGACACCTTCAGTATCTTAGATTTCCTGATGTAATCCTTTGGGGGTCATTATAAGAGAGAGCAGAGAAAACCTCTAAATGAATGATGTTGAAATATGTTGGAATATCTGACCTCAAAATGTACAAATTCTATTTTCATTTGGCATTTTAAATGACAATATGGCCACATAATTCCATCATATTGTACAAACCAAACTTAACTGAATGTAAAATGTAATTTAAAAAACACTGTTTTTAATTACACTTATTGCGAGGTAAGTATGCGTATGTACTCAGCAATACAGGAATAAATGACCAAATTACTTTTAAATAAACATTCTAAAATATTAGCTTCATCTCAATAAATACTTGAACACTATGTTATAATCAAACTTACAGAGTTTCATCAAGTGCTTGAGTCAGTATGCTTAGATGCAACTGAAGTCAGTAGGTTTAAGCTTGCCTAACAATTGTCACAGGTTGTGTAAATATATATTTCAGACCCATACTCCCATTGACAGCAGGCAACGGGATTTCATTTTTTATGTGGGCCAGTGTGCTCACAATAAAAAAAAAGGCAATAAACGTTACTTTATCTTTTTGGAATCGAAGTACATCGCATTTGAGGGCACCAGGTTGAAGGAACCTAATATGTCTTGCTCTTTGATGCAATAAAGAAACAATGTTGTATAGCAAACTCTCTTTGCATTATAAAAGTGTTATGCTATATTTTCAAATTTCTCTTTCTAGATATAACAGTGAAGGAACTAGATTTTAGCCAGAGGAGCAGGAAATACCAAAAGATAATTTAATTTTTTTAGGGATATGTATGTTTAAAGCATCGTAAACTCAATTCATTTTGGAAATCCTCAGTAAAATTAACTGGTACCCAATCCAAAAAATGCATTTATTATGGAACTAATTTTCATATTCTATTCATATTAAGCAATACTTTTTGAAGGTCATGGAGTATATTTTGGAATGAGGGAGGGGGAAGAAGTGGTAAATATTTAGAGCCAACAATCCTTTTGCTATTATGGTTGAACATTAAATAATCTTGCAGATTATTTTATTTAATTGGATAAAACTATTTAGGCCTAAATAAGAAAAAGTGCTAGGCACTTATGCTTAGGTAACAGCCTGAACATGAAAGTAAAATCACAAGTGCAGCGTTTGCTACTGTTACATAAAATGAACAAAAGGCATTCTAACTGAGGAAAGAGAAGATAAAAAAGACCAAACAAAATGGAATAAGATATTGTAGCCTACTAAAATTATAGAAATCTAGTTATTACTGTCAAGCAATTTGAAGCAATGTGTATGCTATAAATTTATTGATTGCTAATTTTAGTATATGATGTGTAAAGACTTATGTGATGTCATTTAATTGATGCCTGCTGGAGGATAAACAATTATTTCAGCCTTAAGTATGGCAAATAGAAGGCTTGGGAACCACTGTTACATTAAAATTCCACTGTGAATTGCTGGATTTAATGCAGTTTGTCATTTGTTTTATCAATACTGTGCATATTAACCATGTTGCTTCAGTATTACTATATTCATACTTTTTATACAGCAAAGCTCTACATGCTTACCATGATGTAAATCCATCTAAATTATTTAGAGTGTATCTGATTGCAGCGTGACCCTTTACATATTTTATGTCTATCAAATATTAGTGAAATGCTTAAAACGGAAATATGTGGACTCTTAAAATGTCTAGAAAACACTTCTATTTTGTTATATTTCCAAAATAAAACATCTTCTATGTTGATTTATTTTTGTCTTTGTGGTCTTGATTTTGAAAATTGCAAGATATTCAATTATATAGCGTGTTTGTGTGTGCACACACACATACAAATACACACACACACATATATATACATACTGAACTTAATAACATATTTAAGGAAGCATGAATAAAACAAGTGGTTAATTTTCTAAAAATAATCCCATGAATTTTCCAAGTCACATGTCCTATTTTGGGATTCAGTCTGTTCTCTCTCAGGTTTAAATTGTTCCTTTTATGCATTATAAAGACAAGGAAAAGGAATTTGTTTTCTAAGTTTACATATTTTTATAGTCTGCCAGTCATATTTTTGTTATTGTTAAATATATTATGGTAAGACTAATTTTATGGTTTACATAGGTTTTATGTAATTCCCACACCTTCATTTCTGAAGAGTTTTTCTTGTAACTTGCTATTACAAAGCTTTGCAAATAAATTCACATTTATTTGTACAGCTCATTTTATAAATTAAATCTGGTAAATGTTCATGTAAAGCAGGCAAAAATATCTAGCAGAGTATAAAGCTTATTTTCTTAGTAGTTATAAACAATAGTGTATTAATTCAATATTTTCCTTAATGTCTTCACTTTTTAAAAGTGTATTTTTAAAGTGCTTTTGCAATGATACTTTTAACTTTGGCTAAATTTTTTAAAGTTTTTGTTCCAGTTTTTTTTCTAACAAATCCTTTATAAAATGTGGATTTGACAACCCTTTCTTTTTAGAAGATCATATTTCACAAAATTTAAAGAAAGAAAGAAATTCTATACACCTTTTTATTATTCGAATACGCTTAGCTCTTCTGCGGATACATTACTCTCTCTTCCTCATCATTTTATGTCGATTAGAAATAATTGGGGAATATAATTCTTTTTACCTACAATTATCCATCAACTAGGAAGAATTGGTTAGCTCTCGAGTTTAACCTCATAAAATCAGAAAAACAGAATTATAATTGCAAAAGGCCAAGCGGGTAAGAAAAAGAATCAGTGGACACGGGCTGACGCATCTTTTCCGCTTTTCCACGTAACCCTTTCCTTGCTGGCCTCTGCTTTGCAAACACAGCCGCAACCGACAACCCAACTGCTTAGCATTGCGCCGTCAAACCGCCTCTTCAAGCTCAAAAACTTTCCCTGTCATTGTTAATTGTTATGCTGGATAGGATTTTTTTTTTTTTTTTTTTAAAAGATACTCTATTCAGCGATACCTCGTTCCCCGGTTTTTGGGATCGCCTGCAGCTTCAAGATTCCCCCGTCTCCCTGCACGAAGCAAAAAATAATCCATCCGTAAGCCATCTGGCTTCATTTTAGGAGAAGCGAAACAGGAATGCCTCGTCATCAGTTAGCCATTAGCGTTCCTCTCTCTCTCCAAACCATGGTTTCGTGGGCCAGTTTTGCACCTTCGACCTGGTGCATAGTAGTTCGCTGGTTTCTTACCTCAAGGCCTTGATTCATTTTTTTTTCTTCCACCCGCCCCCCCGTTTTCAACCCCACATGCTGGACATTTGCCCCCGCAGCTGCAAATGCCGCACGCGGAACCGCCGGCGCGCGCAGGGCGCTGGCTCAGCAGCAGCAGCAGCAGCAGTTCGCCCGCTCGCTCGCTGCCCCTCCCGCCCGGGGAATGTGTGTTCCAGGCGCCCTCCATGTGCCTGAGCTTTGCTGCGGGCTGTTTGTCAGGGAGAGAGAGAAGCCTGTCGCCGACCGTAATCCCGTAACCCATAGCAACGGCCCAAATCAAGGGAGCAGTAGCCCGCTGCTCCAAAAGGCCCATAGAGAATACGTCAACGCGCGCCTCTCCCTCCCTCCTCCCAGAAAGCGATGCGGTCGCTCTGGAACATCAATGCGGAGACGGGGGTTGCAAACGACAAAGGATTTTCAAGGCTTTGCTCTCCTTGCAAATACTTCATTGCTTCCTCCCCTCCCCCCTGCGTTTTTGGATGAATGTATGAAATGACAGACACAGGAGGCTGGAAAATGAGAGGCAAATATGCTGTGGGGGCGGCGGGGGGGGGGAAAGTCAGGGAAGGAGGGCGAGGGGTGACGACGACATTCCCAAGCGTCGGCTGGATGGTGGGCTTTTGTTATGCAAACGCATAGGCAGCCGGCTGTCGTTTTCTGTGCAGGGACCGAGGTAGTCGGATGACTCCTTGAAATAAAGGTCAGCAGAGCTGGTGAGGGAGGGCGGACAGCAGAAGAGGGTTATTGTTTTCTCAGCGCTGTGCAGTGATACAGGAGCTTAAACGCTGGGAAAGAAAAGCAGGATGTGCTTGCAAGCCTGGTTTGGGAGATTGGACTCCTTTTAAAAACGAGAAAGATTGCATGGTTTAAAATATCCTTAAAGATCCAAACCTAAGACACATTTTCTAAAGAAGAGACAGCAAGACTTTTCCATTCTCAGTGGCCATGAATTTTTCAGAATAAGGCATAGTCTAGTAATTTCTCAAGCTCCTCTTGAAATAAAAATCTTCAAATATCACATGACCATGCAACACGCTAAGATATGATTGGCTTAAACATGATATACTGAAGGAATCACAGCTGGAGAGTTCACTCAGGTTATTAACTATAAACTAAGCTTATGAGGCCACTGGTTGGTGTTAATATCACACACTAGTTAAACTACCTATAGGCAAACCACAGTTTGACTTCATCTGTGACTCTTGAAAATGATTTACTACATATTTGTCATGTCACTAGAGTTCAGTTTCTATCATATAAGCAATAGTGTAGTTTGGTACTCTGGCTCAGTATATTTATGAACTCAGTTAATGTGATTACAGTTGTTTGTGTTTTAGTGTGTGCATCATGCTGGAGGTGATTGATGAATTAAGAAAAGACCCCCCACCTTCCCCCATTGTTTAGCCTGCTTCCTTCCTGCCCATCTTTTTAATTGTATTTTTACTGTTATTAGAAATATTTATTTGATGGTTTTATTGGCTTTTAATGTTTTAAGTTGCCCAGAGTTGCCTTGAGGCAAGAGGAGTAGCAAACCAAACTAAATCGAATCAATCAATCAACCAATCAGTCAACCAGCCAAAAAGCAGAGGGTCAAAAGATCAGGTCCTACTTTTTATTTACTTATTGTATGGCATAGATCATACAGTCACTTATATACAACATTGATAAAACACATATGTACAAATATAAATATATATTTAAATCATCAACAAATACTTGTATATAAGGTATGTGGACAATACAATAGATGTGATAAAATATTAAATTAGGGTAAAACCATGATAAAATCTCAATAATAAGCTGCAATAGCATAGATGTATAATTTGATAGCTAAGAAAGCTAATCATCTAACTGCTTCTGGTTGATGAGATCAACCCAGGTACATGAAATTTCCTGAGGAGACATACTTGTACTATATGTGTTACTGTTTGTTCTGATGCACCACAGTCACATTGTGGGCTCTCTGCCAATACTCAGTTAAAAAGCTTTGCCTTAGTTCTGGCATGAGCTGTCCTGCTTCTATTCAGGTGGTTCCATATTTTTAGGTGACAACTGCACATAGGTGTCAAAGTGTAGATCGACAATAAGATCATCAAAATGGTAAAGGAATTCATCTTCCTGGGCTCTATATCAACCAAAATTGTGACTGCAGCCCTGAGATCAGAAAGTGTATAGGAAGAACTGCAATGTCTGGCATGAATAATATGTGGAAGAGTAAAGATATCAGCCTCACAACCAATGCAGATTAGTTAACACAATATTTTTTCCCAATTGCTAATTGTGTCTATGAAACTTGGACTCTGAAAAAGGCAGAAAGGAGAAAGATGGATGCCTTTGAACTGTGGTGCTGGAGGCAACTATTACACATCCCATAGATTGCAAAAATAACAAAAAGGTCCTAGACTGAACCTCACCAAAAATATCACTTGAAACCAAGATCATCAAACAGGCTGTCATTCTTTGGTCATGTCATGAGAGCTGACTCACTTGAAAAGTCAATCGTGCTGGGAGTGATCAGCGGAAGAAGGAGAAAGGGCTGCCCTAGTACCTGCTGGCTGGACACTATAAAGGATGACACCAGGATGACCATGGCGGATCTGAAAGAGGCAGTGTGAGACAGAGACTAAGATGATTTTGGAAAACTGCAAAAGAAGAAAACTCTTGAATGTAGTTTGAACTAATTACAAAAAGACATTTGACTCCTTGACACATGACTGGATAATCAAGTATCTAGAAATAACAGAATAACAGTAGAAACATGAGAAGATCTGTGCAAAGATCAGTACCACAATGGTGATAGATTGGGACAGGTTATCAAGAGAGGAATCTTTCAAGGAGACTAACTATCACTGCTACTCTTTGTCATTGCATTGATTTCTCTGTCAACAAAACTGAACAAGTCAGGCCATGGCTATCAAGCATCAAAAATATCTGCCAAGCTATCCCACTTCCTTTACATGGACAATCTGAAAGTATAAATAATACTCAATTTACAACCATTTGTTTAGTGACATTCGAAGCTACAATGGCACTAAGAAAAAGGGACTTAAACGATCGTTTTTCACATTTATGATTGTTGCACATCCCTATGGTCACAGAATCAAAATTCGTACATTTGGTAACTAGCTCGTATTTATGATGGTTGCAGTGTCCTGGGATCATGTAATCCCATTTTGCGAAGGGAAGCCAGATTCACTTAACAACTGTGTTGCTAATTTAACAACTGCAGCAATTCACTTAGCAACTGTGGCAAGAAAGATGATAAAGTGGGGCAAAACTCATTTAACATGTGTTCTGTATTTTGTGTTCTGTAATATGTGTTCTGTATTTTGTTGTTTGAGTGCTTTCTTGCCAGAATGTTAACATTCACAGATGTATAAATGCAACAGCTATGCAACCATTTCTGAATGACAAATGCATACATTCCTTGACCTGCAGTGACACAGAAGTCCACCTCAAGAAAGCCGGTCCTATATCAGGCTGGGTACTTCTCTCAGAATCTGAAAAAAAAGTTGAGTGTGC